TTACAGGTCAGCTCTGTGGAGAGGTGACCCCGCTCACAGTCAGAATGCCTGTTTTTCTGTGTACTTTTGCGTTATGAAACCACCTAATTGAATATATTTCAAGTAGAGCTGTTTTTGTTGTTGTTGTTTTTTAATAATTTGTCATTTTCGAGGGACACCCAGCACACCAATAATAAAGCAGACATAACAAAATATAAGACAAACGCACATACACAGAGAGAAGGGCAAAAAAAAAAAAAAAAAAAAGGTTGGGGGGTTGTGTGTAGTACAGATTTTCTCAATGCAGTGTTTGCATGTTTGTATTTACATTTTAGGGCTGTCAAATCAAATTTGCATTTGGGTCCAGTCAAGTGGTAACAGAGGGAAACAGGGGCAGATTTTTTACATTCAAATGTCTCTTATTCAGAAACTAGAGGGACTATTGAAATAAGTAAAGTATTAGAATGTAGGAAAGAGTTACACTCCAACAGGGTCAAGTTAAACCTGTGATATTCTTTCAAGTTGTTGACAAAAAATTAAAAAACTCATCTCGGGAACGGAGGGAATGAAATATGCAGCACTTTTTGGGCAATAAATACAAACAGTGATAACTAGCGGTTCTCACTTACATATCCTTAACAAACTGGTTTGAATATTTGCTTCATATAGTTTTCTACCATATGGTACAAGATTAGGATGAAAAACCTCTTACTTTTTGAGTAATGACATTTTTTATTAAGAAAGGTCATGGTAACGGAGGGAAAATTGTACAAGCATAATTAGAAGGTGCATGATTTTGCATAATTTGTCGCTTTTTTCTTCTGAATACTTTAATATTACTTCAAAATGAAAGGAAACTATTTCTATAAAATATGTCAGTCCTTCCAAGTAAATTTTTTTCATTTTAAATACATTTTTTTTGAAAAATTATGTACCTTCATCAACACTTCAAAGATGGAATAACACAAGATATGATGAAATACATCCATTTATTTACATGATTTTGCAGGTCTTTGAAATTTGGGAAATAATTTTTGTTCCATGTTTCATACATGGTCTGTTTAAAACGTATGTAACTTTAGAACCAAAAATGGTACAGAAAAAAGGTAAACAGTTTCATAAACTAGAGTACATATGTATCTGTTGAATACATTTTTATATCAGATGCATTAACTTGAATTTTTGGCCTTGCTGTTTACTTCTGCTTGACTGGGCCCCTTTACATAATTTCTGTTTCCTTCTATGTTTTGTTTGTTTGTTTTTGGAAAAACTACAAAACACTTACACGTACAATACGTTATACAAGCACATACAGTAGAGCTGTTTAATGTTATTCTGGGGAACATTCCAGGCTGAGCAATGATATATCCATAGAAACAAGCAAATGACTGACCCCGAACCAGAAAGTTACACAGTGCACCTTTACAGAGGAGGTGTTACACTTCTATTGGGCATTAATGAACACAAAACATATTTAGATGCGTTACCTTTTATTGTTTTGAAAATGTATATATTTGCCAAAAACAACATATTGCAATGATGAATTAGTTTCGGTTTCCTTTTTTAATGCTTTGAGTCTCCTCTCCTTCCTAGTCACTCCCCCTTCAGAGCACTATCACAACACAATCAGCGTACACCTCACTAAAGAAACTACTGCACATCGCGTCAGGTTTGTGAAGTTGTAGTATATTGTTTTGCACCCTGATCTTAAAAAAATGACATGACCGCTGCAGTTCCTGGTTATGTAAGTTTGTGGCCCTAGTGCACGGGAAAGATCGCTAAATTACTCAGACATACATGGATGACATATAAAACCACTTCAGGCGTGTTTTTGATGAGCAAACATTATAACATAAGCGCTTTGTGTTTAATTTTTTGTATGAAAAGCGCTCTATAAATAAAGTTTGATTGATTGAATTAATAACATGGTAAAATTTGCATAACACTTCCTCTTTAAAAGATGCTTGCATATTTACAGCAAATACCTTTTTTTTAAGTTGCGTTGTGTAACTTTTCCTGTGGATGGACAGTTTCATAGTTCCATATTAAACCTTTCTATCTTCATGGAGAACAAACCAGACCAAGTTACAGGTCAGATCTGCGGAGAGGCGACCCCGCTCATAGTCAGAATGCCTGTTGTGTTTATTTGTTTTTTAGGTATTTTTGAAACTAATGAACCTGCCTGTGATTGAATAAATGTAAGGTAGAGCTGTTTAATGTTACACCGTGGAACATCCCAGGCTGAGCAATGATGTATCCATAGAAACAAGCAGGTGACGAACCCTCCAGAAAGGTTACACAATGCACCTTTAGAGACCTTTTAGAGATGCTATGTTTTCTTTCTTATTCTCATGAGTAAAGCACTGTCCATCAAACCAGCAGAGAGAAGAGAAAATAAACACTTTTTTTGTTTAGTTTCCTTTACGTAGCTAAGATAAACATGACAAAGACAATCTTTTATACAACACGGTGTAGTATTCGTTTTGTACTAATTGTAAACCGCCCTGTTCACCGTCGTTGCACATGGCTGTCCTGTATTGCCTTTGTACTGAGCCTGTCCTTTTTCAGGTGGAGGTCTAAAGTGGACTCAAAGGATTAGCCAAACAATGTAAAAAGTGGAAGGGCAGTGGCAGGATTAGTTTGGCCCTGTAATCCCACTACAGGCCTCAGCGTCCCCCGTCCAAATGTTGAAACAGGGCCGCGTGAAGCTAAGTCTACAACTGACGGTCAAGTTTTCAGCGGTTCATTTCGTTTTTACCCATCTCTGGCATCGACTGTACAAAGAGCTGGACTGAGGGAGTGTGTTCAGCTCCAGTCAAATGAAGCTCAGCGAGGCCGGAAATTATAGGGGCGAATTTAGAGCTGAGATCCATATTTGAAACTCCGACTGTGTGTAAGTAAACGTAGTAAACAAAGAGCCATTCAGGAGTGACAGTGCTGACTGGGAATGTAACGATATCCAAATCTCACGGTACAATATTATCACGATATGCATCTCACGATATGATACTTATTGCGATATTTTGGAGAGGCTGATATAATTGTAGACAGGACACATTTTTGTTTTTAAAAGTCTTTGGTGTGAATTATTTCCATCATGATCCCAAGAATTCAAGTAAAAACATATTCCTTCATGTTGTCTGCAGTGAAATGAACCATGGGATATGTAGTTCTCTATGTTTATAAGCCGTTGCAACTATTAAAAACAAACAAACATACATTTAAGCAAAGGAACTTCTAACTCGATATATTGTGACAGCCCACAAAATTATTGTGAGACTTTTGACGATATGATATCACAACATTTCGGTTATTCTCACATCGTAGTGTTGAAGGAAGCTCCGCCTCCTGCACGCACCGTATCATGAATCAGTGCTAGTGCAGCCTCTACAGCGAAGTTTGTGAATTGTGGAGTTTTTGTGCTTTCACATGAGGCATGGTCACATACGTATATTGAGAAAAATCTGTATGTGTACTCTGTATGCAGGTAACGCCCTTGCAAACCACACTGAAAAAAAAGGTCGCTGGATTTGCGTAAAAAAGTTATGGAAAGCGGTTGCACGCAATAAAATTATGTTTAGGCTCTGAGCTTATTTTGATCCTCTCTATACATATTTTTCTCAGAACATGAACATCACTTTTTCATGTTGATGAAATTTGATCAAATCATACTGAATATGCATATTTATCTTATGTTACCTTATCGTGAAATGTATAAGTATGTATAATTGAATTTAATTGATCTAATACTGTAAAATAATACAAAAACAGTCTTTAGTTTTTCACAGTTCTGTATTGTCTTCAACAGAATCAAACACACAGAGAGCACAAGTACAGAGACACACAGTTTGGAGCTGGACAGTGTGAAGATTTATTACAGTAAAGACGCTCTGGTCTCTGCCTGTGGACACAGAAATAACACATGATGATCACATTCTGATGATCTACTCTGTTGTACATGTTTAAATACATTCAAAGTACCTATAATGGACCAGAACAGAATCACAAGAACATTAGAAGTGTATCTGCAGAAACAAAACTCCCCATGTGCTGCTTTTCTTCCTCTAAACGCAGTAACAGGGAGGGCATCTGGTATAAAGTCTCCAAGTGTCACATCACCCTGTAGAAACACGATAACTGTTTTAATAGGAAGTTCATTTTGAAAAATTTGTTTAAAATCATTTTAGTTGGTTTACTTACTTTGTTCACGTGTGCTCTGTGTTTTGTTGGTTCTCAAACATCTTCCTAACGTTCATGAACTTCCCCACAGCTCCAGCAGAGCTCTGGACGTCACTCTGTGTTTGTAGACGACTCTGGAAAAAACACATTCAAATCTGAGTACAACTGTCACACTCTTGTAGATGGACAGTCAAATAGAATTTGTTTCAAGGAGTCCTTACATTAACTCTAATTTCAAATAAAACACCACAAACGTGTTTTAACAATAACGACATTCTAGGCTGGAGAAACATATAAAATCTTTAAAAAGTCTCACCTCCAGATCAGGTCTCATAATCCTCCTGCTCCACACTGTGTCCTCTGCTCCTGTAACTGTCCTGTGTCCTGCTGCATTTGAAATTTTCCCTCCAAAAAATTGAGGAGGACAATTCCAGAGGGAGGAGCCTCACCAGAAATTATAATAAAGTCATGCTTCCTCAGTCTGATTAAAACATGCAGGTCTAACATCGGCCACAATCAAGTGACCTTTGTAAGATTTAAACATGCTGGACAGAGAAATGTAAAAAAGTCATGTTATTGTTGTCAAATTTGTTTTTGCAATTTGAACAACCCCTCTTGGACATTTTTTTCAGTGCATGATCAGTAAGGGTTGTGTACATTTTTTAAAAAACAGTTATAATTGCTAGAATGTATAAATGGGTAAAGTATCAAACATTCCTTGGTAGGTGTTTTTATACCTGATCCATAAAGCTGAAGTCCTGTGCCTCCTCTCTAAAAACATGAAACATTTGGCTTGTGATGTTATTGTGAAACTCACCTTGCTTTTGTCTTTTCTTTTCCAGAATCACCACCACTGCTGCCTGCATGATGGACCTCAGGAGGTACCCACTGGACGAGCAGAACTGCACACTGGAGATTGAAAGCTGTAAGTAAATAATATTAATAAAGTTAAATCCACAGTATATTATATTGAACAGCTGCAGTTTGTTCACCTGGCTCATGCAGATTCATATGTGTAGCGCTGACTTTTGAGTTTTACACATCAATTTGGGCTGGCCCTTTCTGAATGCAATTGGAATCTATTTTTATTTTAATTTTTTAATGTTTTTCTTCAAATTACCTGAACTTAAAATGATATATCAGGCCTCAGTTACTCATTCCATATTGAACAAAACTGAGCTTGTGAGCTTTAACTTATGTTATAAGTTATAAGTTTTTCAAAACTTTCCTGACTGTGATGGGGGTCGGGGTCAGGTCGGTCGTATAACAAAATTGTATGATCCTGACGACGCAGATTATATTCTTTGGAAAGCTCCACACTGCACGCTTCTTATACTGAACAAACAAATAACTGGTCGTCCATTGTTCTTTCAAAACTGTGTAATCTCTGTCAGCTTTTTGTACTCGCCATTTTGCTGTCCTTAACTGCACTACAGAACTCTGCTGTTGACTGTCACTGTTTGATCTCAAGTTTGTCAGGTGATGAAAATTCAGCGGTAAATGTAAATGTGTCATATAATTATTTAAATATGAATATACATACGTCATATAAATATCACTTTTGAATGGAAAAAATCAACAAAATACAAGATGCAGACATGTTATTATTTGCCAAAAAAGTCATTTTAAAAAATACACTACCGTTCAAAAGTTTGGGGTCACTTAGAAATGTCCTTATTTTTGAAAGAAAAGCACAGTTTTTTTCAATGAAGATAACTTTAAACTAATCAGAAATACACTCTATACATTGCTAATGTGGTAAATGATTATTGTAGTTGCTAATGTCTGGTTTTTGATGCAATATTTACATATGTGTATAGAGGCCCATTTTCAGCAACTGTCACTCCAGTGTTCTAATGGTACAATGTGTTTGCTCATTGTGTCAGAAGACTAAAGGATGATTAGAAAACCCTTGTGCATCATGTTAGAACAGGTGAAAGCAGTTTAACTGGTTAGAGAAGCTATAAAACTGACCTTCCTTTGAGCAGGTTGAGTATCTGGAGCATCACATTTGTGGGGTCAATTAAACGCTCAAAATGGCCAGAAAAAGAAAACTTTCATGTGAAACTCAACAGTCTGTTCTTGTTATTAGAAATGAAGGCTATTCCATGCGAGAAATTGCCAAGAAACTGAAGATTTCCTACAGCGGTGTGCACTACTCCCTTCAGAGAACAGCACAAAAAGGCTCTAAGCAGAGTAGAAAGAGAAGTGGGCAGCTTGGTCGTACAGACGCAAGAAGTGCCCATCCAGCCAATCCAACTTGTGGGAGGTGATTCTTGAAGCGTGGGGTGAAATTTCTCCAGATTACCTTAACAAATTAACAGCTAGAATGCCAAAGGTCTGCAATGCTGTAATTGCTGCAAATTGAGGATTCTTTGTCGAAAGCTTGAAGGAAAAAAAACTATTATTTCAAATACAAATCATTATTTCTAACGTCGTCAATGTCTGGACTACATTTTCTGTTCATTTTACAACTCATGGTGGTAAATAAAAGTGTGACTTTTCATGGAAAACACAAAATTGTCTGGGCGACCCTAAACTTTTGAACGGTAGTGTAGGTCAAGACAATTTTTGAAGATTGCCTCATAGGGCCAGTTCAAGTGGTGGGGCAGAGGGGCTGAGTCGGACAAAGGTTTGATGACCCCTATGCTTTTACGCCAAGTTTCATTCACACAGTTTGAGTAATGCTTTATTATTAGTCTTGTCTACATAGCCAGGGCTCAAAATGCTCTGTTCCACCTTGTGATGTCATGTAGTGTTCGTCTTCTCGTTAACAGCTCCTTTTAGCTTTCGTTCAGTGGAGATTGGCAATTCCAGGGCTGACATCTTCCAAATGATTCTAGTGAAGGTTCATGGAGTTTAAACACTGTATTACAATGGAGCACTTCATGTATTACTGCATGACATCACAAGGTGGAACAGAGTTTTCAGTTTGAGAGAAGAACTCAGCCTAAATATGCAGGATGTGTGTGTTAAACATGTGAATGAAACAAAACACAACGCCAGGTCTGTTTGTGATGAGGAAACTACATTATAACATAGATCGTAAAAGAGCATCATAGGAGCCCTTTAAGTTACTCTCAAATACATTTACTTAAGTACTACTAGAGTAATGTTATTCTGAAGTAACATTACTCTTACAATTTTGGTTACTCCACCCACCTCTGAGTTTAACAATATTCAGAACGGTGTTGATTTTCATGTGAGCGCCAGTATCTTGGGTCCACTATCTGAGCCCGATTGACCCACAGGGAAACATCTTAATCAAAAATTACAGCACAGGGCAGCTTTAGTGAGAGGCTCCGGGCTGCACACGGACCTCCCGCTACGCCGTGGTCATTAAAAGTGAAAATGCCGGAGCAGGGCGTGGGTTTCAGTGATCTCAAACTCGTCCAAGTCCTGAGTACACATCTGTTTGTTTCACCGGGAGGCCATTTCACATTCTAGTCCTTTTTTAGGTTTTGTCTATTGGTTAATTAACTGATACGAGCAAACTGCGCTATTAACTGCTATTATTAGTTTGCTGAGAGCTAAATAGGTAAAGAGGGACGGTCTATACTTCATGCAGTGGTCAAATGAATGAAGTAAAAGTAGTAAAGTACTGGACTTAGTAAGGACTGGACGAGACCCAATTTCCACAAAACAAGACGAGATACGAGATTGAGTCCACGAGAACGAGACATAATCCTAATATATAAAGTTCACGATTCCAATTTTGACCTGACAAGTTTTTATTTATTTGATTTTATATTTTTGTTTCCACTCTAGTGCTGCGTTTTGGAACTGTTAGAGATGAAATAGAGATGAAAAAGATCATTTTTCTCATGTGTGCATGATCACTTTGTAATCTTGACTTGAATCTTGACTTGGTATCTGTACATTACTTAAATAGATTTTATAGCACATACTTTTTTACTTTTGCTTCATTACATTTGAGAGAATGCATCTGAGTTTTGTATATTTATTTTATTTTTCAATTGCAGAAATTGTAGAACAGCTGGATATATAATGTACTATATAGTGATATTTATGTTTTTCTCTGCTTTATTTCATGTTCAAAGTATATTTTAGTTGCATCGCAAAATTTCTCTAAGGTTCTTATTTGTAGCCTATATTTATTTTCAATTTGAAAGTTTCGTGTAACAAAAAAATAATCGTTTGAATAATCTTGATTTCAATATTGACCAAAATAATCTTGATAATGTTTTTTTTTTTTTTTCCATAATCGAGCAGCCCTAGCTGAGGGTTTATTTTTTAACATATTTATAGTCTGAGCAAGGAAAAATGTACAGATAAAAACAGCTTGGAAAAATATATATATCATTTTTTCTGTTGAACAAAATTATGCGCAAATTTGTATCAATATCAGTCACTAAATTTGAAGTTTTATTATAGATCTCAAATTATAGAGAAATACTTTTACTTTTTACTCTTTTAAACAGGTACTTTAATACTTTTACTTAAGTAGATTTTATCATGTGATACTTTGATTTAGCTTGAGTAATGTTTTTTGCTTGTGAATGAAACAAAACACAACTCCAAGTCTGTTTGTGGCAAGGAAACTTTATAACACAGATCAGAAAATAGCGAAATATGATTCTTTTAAGATTAAGAACAGGGTTAGTCAACTTTTTGTTTTAGTTTTTTTGATTAACAGATTAATAATTTTGTATATTTAATTTCATATTTTATATGATTTAACCCTTTTTTGTACATATTAGTTATACTTTTTACAAAGCATAAGGATAGCAGCTTTGTGTATTGCATAAGTAGATTTTTTTGTTTTGTTTTTTTCCTCTCTCTTTTTTACCACTACATAACATAACATGAGCTTAACCCAGACTTTAACCTTTACCTCATTCATGGCAGAAGTGGCAGATGGGGCTTTAACCTTGCGAGGCGAGCTCTGTCAACTCGTATTTGTTTAGCCGCTACCAGCCGTGCCTCTCCATAATGCATGCACAGTAGTCCTAGTAGTAGTAGTTTTACCTATAGCAGGAAAATACCATTGAGTACGTGTATTATTCATAAGGGCTAACCTCCTGCTGTTCTGGGTCACTATTACATGCAGCTGTTTACCTCAGATTGGACGACATTCGCAGCACAACACTGTACGGCCCAGTCAAAATACAGAGATGTTTTTCAATAAATAATCACCAAGAGCTTTCGAAGGCCCCAGTGCTGTGAAAAGTGAAAAATCGATGGTTATTTCAATTAAAATAATCTAATGAAATCTTTAAATTGGATTATATAAACTCAATTTTCACACACTGTGGCATTAAACGTATCTATCTCCATGGAGCCGAGCAGGTGAAGGCCAAGTAACAGGTCAGATCTGTGGAGAGGGAGGCAACATGTGCAGTTGAATAAGCGCAAGATAGATATAAGTGTTCTTACTGTGGAACATTTGCCACTAACTTAGGTCCAATTCCACCACCCTGGGTCAAATGCCACTGCTTCAGGTCAACTGCCACTATATCCGATCAAATGCCATTACCTTAGCTCAAATTGCCACTACCTCTGCGGAACATTTGCCACTAACTCAAGTCCAATTCCACCACCCTGGGTCAAATGCCACTAACTCAGGTCAACTGGCACTACTCTGGGTCAAATGCCTATATATACAGTCAAATGCCACGACCTCTGCGGAACATTTGCCACTAACTCAAGTCCAATTCCACCACCCTGGGTCAAATGCCACTAACTCAGGTCAACTGGCACTACTCTGGGTCAAATGCTTATATATACAGTCAAATGCCACGACCTCTGCGGAACATTTGCCACTAACTCAAGTCCAATTCCACCACCCTGGGTCAAATTCCACGAACTCAGGTCATTTGCTACTACTCTGGGTCAAATGCCTCTATATCCGGTCAAATACCACAACATCTGCGGAACATCTTCCACTAAGTCAAGTCAAATTCA